CTGAATGAACAGCCTGTACTATGTAGTATCCAAATCTCCTGTGCTTCAATTAGCTTATCAAGACTCAGAAAAAATCACATTAGAAGATCATTTATCTAAAACTTCAATGCTTCATCCAAAACGATTTGGAGATAGTCATTCCAGCCATGGAACTGAAATTATTACACTGATGGAGAATCTCCTTCTACACTAGACAGAAAGCAGATAACCATTCTTCTGAAGCTCTCTGCAACATCTTTGAGATAATATTGCCTCATGTGAGAAAGGTAGAATGTGCTAACAAGTTTTCAGTTTCTCTTTGAGAAACACACCAAAGCAGCAGAGAAGGATATCATCATCAGTTAGGCAGATGACATGGAGGAGACTGAGGAACCTAGGATCAATTTAAGACACCATAAACATACCTCTCTTAAGTGCAAAATGCTCAGAGGCTCCCGATTCACCTTTTAGATCTTACTCAGTTCTTTGTTTTAGGCTGGTAATGCTTCCCTTTCCTTGGCTGTTAAAGTCTGTTCTTTCCAAGGACACCTTTCTCAGCTTTCCTTATTTCCTGTTCTGCTTAGGGAGTCTTAAAACACACAATGGCAACAACTTTGCTCGCATGGATGGCTATTAACTGCTACACCAAGTACAGATTGCTTGGCTGACCTACAACACCTATCAGTAACCATGTATTATCGTAACATGATAACCACAAGCTTCCCAATGAAAACAGCTCAGTTAAATAGCTGATTCTGATAGAAGATAAAATAATTTTGAAACATTTATGTACTGAATCTTTTGTTGCTTAAGTTAAAAACACGTAAGAGTCTACTGAAGACTGCAGTTTAGGAGTGTTCTCAACCTTCTCGATGGCACTACATTCTCACACTGCAGCACTGATAAGTATCACTGGCTAGAAATTCCAGTTCTGTAAGAAACTCAATCATTGCTGCTGGCCAACAGTCAGACCTTAGTAATTCATAAGTTTCTCATTCCTCACATGGATTACAGCAATACTATGTATGGATGTCTTCCATATTTAGGGAGTTTTGGGAAGTACATAATGCTGTAGTACATCTTAGAAACACAAGCTATTTGCAGACATATCACAACCAATCTCTCTGGCTTTCCATATAATTTAAATTAAATTAATTATCTCAGTCTTATCTTCAGAGAACATAATTTCCAGCACAGCTACAGCTTCAAGATAAGCACTGTTACTGACAAGAACAGCACTTTCACTATGGAGGTATGGTAGTCTGTTCCAGAGGCAACTTGTAGAGAGCTGAGTGCAAACACCAAAATGAAGCCTTCCCAAACCACAACAGAATTCACTGTTATCCAATCCCAACTGCAAAGCAGACTTCTTTTACCTTGTCTTCTTCAATCCATATGTCTGTTTTGTAAAAATACCCATTTAAGTAATAACCCTCTCCAGCTATGAAAACAAAATGTTTCACACGCTCTTGCTCTGGAGGAGGGATGAGAATACAAACAACATGCAATGTATTCTAGCATAGCAGAAACTTGCTAACAGCCTTTCATTTTGTAATATACATCATAATGCATTATTTCATGTATTTAGTGTTAAATGTATGTAGTGGTTAAGAAAAGATCCTTAAGGCAAATAAAGTGCTATGGAACTAACCCATAAACAATATTTTCTCAAGATGAAAGCAAGTTAGAAGTACTTTAAAATCCATGTAAGTCATTGGAAACAGATTTCCAACACTAATTATTTTTCTTGTCCCCATACTAAATAGAACTTGCATGCCATTCCCCTCATCAGCGTCAATCTTTTGAGTAGTTCAGATGTGTCAGTTATGTATCTTTCTATGCCTCTGCCTATTAGTTATTCACACATATTCATAATTTGTTAAAATTTGACACATTGCAAAGTTTTGACTCTTAGGACTCTTAAGCCAGTCACACTAAATGCCTAAACTCGTTTTGGCATCAGAAGCCCAAGCAAGACTTGTCAGACTTAACTATAGTTGACAGACACTGCAAAGACGGTCTCCTGGTTTCTATATCACAATCTGCAGGCAGTGCACACCAGAATAGATACTGTTTGCGTGATGGAATATGGGTGTAGTCATCATCCTCTCTGGTAAAAGCATCACTAAGATCAGTTGTTGCACTTTTCAGCAAGTAACAGCATTCAAATTAAAGCAGCAAAAAGTTTTGTTGGTAACAGTACTGTATTGCCTAAGTTTTAAGGCAGTTTCCTTGTGGCCAGCAAAAGCACAACACTACATCCTGAAAAGCTGCAGGACCAATTTATGCCCTGCATATGTCAATCTCAAAGGACCACACTACTTTATTAATGTTTTATTGTTCACTCATGCATTAATGAGTGAATTTTTCTAATGTCCATTTTTCAATTTGCCAAAACATTTATGAGAAGCAAAGGCATGATGCAGCACGATACTGACTGATCTGTATTTACTGGTTACACAGGGCATAGAAAAGAGCACATCTAGCAGTGTCCTCACGGGATCATTTCAAAACTATCATCTTTGGTTAGCTTGAAACAGAAGAATTAACGAGTGGTACAGAGAAATTTTTTTCAGAAGGCTTACCTTTGTAATCCCCTTTTCCCATTCTTTGACCAAGCATTTGGTGACTGTTGGTGGTGGTACTGTACAATAGTGTTCTTGTGACTTGCAGCTGTGTTTTTCAAATGAATGTTTGTGTTGGATTCTCAGTGGAATCTCTCAGCATCTTTTATTGATGTTTCTTGGTAAATGTTAAACACTCCATCAATGCTTCAGCTTTCTGCACAATCATATACTACTGATAACCAGATACTTGTTAGCTTTGTTTATTCTTTGGATCACACTCATTCCATCAGTGCTAGAGGGCTTTGTGTGGTTACAGTACAATTTGCATTCCACATTGTTCCTCTAACAAAGTTGCCTGCTTTGTTCTTCAAAGTGATCTATCCAATGTTGTCAGTATGTAATGAATAAGATATAGTGAGTATGCCTGCTTAGAGTAATATTTTTTTTTAAATATTATGATTATGAAGAGATTCTTGCACTTCCTGCTCTTCTTTTGGTGACTGAAAACATTCTTGCCTTCTCTCTGGAAGTCCATTTGTGAAATTTCCACATGCAAGAACCATGCTCAGTCCGATTCTTAATATAATTGCAAGTCTGCTCACCTACTTTATGTGCTTTTAATTATCAATACCATCTAACAAGGCTGGCTGGTAACTTGACAAAGTCTATTGGCTATTACTGATTGGTTTTAATATTAAGAACTTCAAGTAAGGCTTCAATACCTGACCACCTTTTGGAGGTTTGATTAGCTTGTACTTGTACAGGTACTTACTCAGATACATACTCTGCTCTGCATGAATTAACCTGGAGAACTTTGGCTGTTTCATGTCTCTCAGCTACCTTGTACTACTATTTTGATGATCAGCAGCAAGAGAGTATTAAGCTGCAAACTAAATCTCTTTAACTAAACTAATTTGAAACAGTTGATTTGAAATCCCTTCAACCCCCTGGAGTCTAAATTGACTTCTGTGGTTGAACTGACCTAGTGGAAAGAAGAGGAGGTCCTGCTTCCCTCCAGGTCTGTTGTGCATTCCTGTCCCCACATTTACACAGTCCATGTTTTTCATTTTACTCTATTAATTTCACATTTTCAGGGAGTTTAATTCTCTATCCATTTGTCTTTCAGAAATGGCTCATTAGAGGCCAGATGAGCACTGCTGCTTGGGAAGGAAGTAGCAGCAGCAGTCACAGTCAAGAAAGTAGAGAGCAAGACAATGCCTTTGGTAGCAGCTGCATTACAGCAACACAGCTACAGCATGAAACTATACCTTTAAATTAATATGGTGATCTAACTCTGTGCTGCTTGTCTTCCCCTGGTTGCATATTCCCAAGTACCTCTTTATTTTGACCCCAGCAATTCTGAGATGAGTTGCATCAGTCTGGCTGCTGATCGATAGTTTGCTTACCCAAGAACCTGTAATTTCTTTGTGCTAGTTTTCAAGTGGATCTGACTCACCCTTTGGTTACTAGGACTGATACAAGGGAGGTAATGGAGGTATGTACCTGGAGATAGGAGTCAAACCCTTTCTTACAGATGGAGATCAGTCTTAGTTTGAGTCAACCATGAGGCTCATTAGTCAAGCTCTTTGACACTGCTGCCAAAAGAAACAGTCCTGCCTCTGCCCAGTGAAAATAATCTTTCCAACCCTACACGACTTCCACCTGACGCTGATGTGGTTTGCTGTGTAACACAGCTGCTTATACAGTTGCACGATGATCAGAACAATGAGGTGAGTGATCTGACAACCAGTTTTTCAGGTTACCGTTTCAGGTCACCTCCCCAGTCTGGCTCTGCGTGCAGCTGGAGGTGGTGCAGAGCTGGAAGAATACCTATGCTGTCTTCTTCAGGGGCAGCGTGGGCTTGACATGAAGCGTCAAAGCATAGCTGCACACCTGCATTTGCCGTCTCAACTGATTTACCCGCGGGACGCTCCGAACGGGGTTTAGCAGCCCCACCTGACCAGGCTTGCAGGCGCTGGCGGGTGCTCCGGCAGTAACGTATGGATAAACTAGCCCATGGACACAGCGAGGGCGACGGCACCTCAATCTGACCTCTCACCCGGGAACCGTGAGCCTCGCATTAGCGACTCTGCCCCAGCACAGGCGGACACCTCCGATTCCAGCGCGGCCCCTCAGGCGGTGCCGGTTACGCCCTCACCCCACGCACCGCCCACGTCCTGAGGCAACGGGTCCCTGTGAGCGCCCAGAGCCCCTCCTCGCACCCTCCAGCCAGAGCCCGCTCTCCCTGTCCTCCGCAGCAGCTCCCCTTCACCTCTGCCCCCCCCCCGCGCCCCATCACCACAGCGAGCGACCCCCGCCAGCCGGAGCCCCGCCCCCCCCCGAGGGCCCACCCAAGGGCAGGCGAAGCTGTCCGGCGTGTGCGCAGACCCGCAGTAAACAGGCGCTGCCGCTCCTCCCCCTTACGTCGTTTGCGTGGCCGCCTCCGTGCACAGCCGTGCGAGGGCTGGCGGCGGCGGCGGTTGCGCAGTGCCGCTACATCCGGGCACTGGGGCAGGATGAATGCTCCTTTCCAAGATGGCGGCGGAGGGAGGAGGGAAGGAGATGAACGAGATTAAGACCCAGTTCACCACCCGGGAGGGGCTGTACAAGCTGCTGACCCATTCGGAGTACAGCCGACCTAACCGGGTGCCCTTCAATTCGCAGGGCTCCAACCCGGTCCGCGTTTCCTTCGTCAACGTCAACGATCAGAGCGGCAACGGGGATCGGCTCTGCTTCAATGTGGGCCGGGAGCTCTACTTCTACATCTACAAGGGGGTCCGCAAGGTACCGGGGCTCGGTCTCTGGGCTGATGGGGGAGTGGCAGGGACTGCGCGCCGCCCGCCCGCCGAGGGTCCGACGGCTGCCGTGGAGCGTGGGAGCCCCACCGCAGGAGCTGCACCGTGGGCGGGGGGCTGAGGCCGCCCAATTGGGCCGTCACTCCCCCGACCCCCTTGCCCCCCGGCGGCCTTGCGCCTGGGAGCTTTTTGGTTGCGGCCCGGTTGCGGCTGGGATTTGAGTCGCTCTCCCGATTAACTGGCCCGCGGCGTAGCGGTTAGGGCAGGGGCAGTGAAGGCCTGGCTTGGAGGGCTATGTGACGGGACCGGCGTTGGCTCAGTACTGGCGGGCCACGTCAGGTACGGTGTCACCAACGGTTGTTTATCTGTGTGAGCCTTTGGAGGGATGCGATTGTTTGGGTCCTCCTTGGCGTGCAGGCGTGAAGGTTGGCTTACCATTGGTAAGGCAACCCTGGGCCTCCTTCACCTGCTGCTTCAGGTCTGAGTTTGCTGAATACTGATGCCTGTCATAATTATGGTGGTGTCAGTCCCTGCTTCCAGAATCTTTCTAGCTTTGATTTAATGGCTACAATATTAACTGTAATTTTAGGCCTTCACTGTGACTGTGAAGTGTGAACTGGTTTTAGGATTGTTTTTAAATGGGAGCAGTGAGTGAGCAGAGTTTTAAATGTCAGATAATTGACATGGATAAAGTTGCTTTACAGACAAGAACCATTGATGCACTTGATAGAGACTCTTTACTTGTCATTATTTGATGCAGGACTAGCAGAGCATGGATTTGATCTTTTGGGTCACCACATTTATGAGCAAACACTTTCTACTTGTTATTTCTTAAGGTCCTTGGTTTTATGGGATTTAGAGGAGGATTCAGACTTTGTCATGCTGAGTGAACCTGTGTCACTCTTGATATATGTAAACGCAGGTACAATGGTTGTCATTTTTCTGTTTTATGTTTCCAAAAGCGGGTGTTCGTTACCTTACATACCTAGGACTCTGCTGCCAGAATGTGAGTACTTTGAAATCTTTTTGTTCTTAGCCCACCATTCAGTACCGGTTGAAGGCACAGAGAACTAGTGACATACACGAGGATGTGCAGGAAGCTTGTGCATGAGCAAGGAATTATATTGAATCCATGGTGTTCTAAACTAGTGCCTATTTCACTCCTCCTCAGTATAAAGTGTAACACCAACTGGAGAATAAAGGCTATGTGGTTATCTGTTAACTGTGACTTAACAGATCTGGTATGTCCTGTATAATTATATGGGAAAGTGTGCATATAGAGTTTAGTTTCATCCTTTAATGAGTTTTAATAGTCTAGTTTTGTTTTAAGTAGTACTTAATAGTTTCTTTCAGCATGCAATATTTTTTATCAAACAGTATTTGCTGTTTATAACCAGCTGCTGTGTTTACTATTTACAAGTTATTCTGGCTGGCAGTTTTCTCTGAAAATCTGTATCTTAAATTATTACCATGTTTGGATTCTGATATATCTGTTTTTTCCATACAGAGTAAGTGAAGAGTTCTCTCACTAAGATTGCAGAGCAGGCCTTTTTGTAGTTTAGTAATGATACATGTGATTCTTGCAAGTTGTCTTAGTCATCTCTTGCTACACTTCTAAAAAATAAAAACTAAACCCTGGAATTTCATTAAAAATAGGGAACTGAATAACTTTTTCAAATTATAAAATCATTTTGAGTATTTGATTTTTTTTTATCTTTTTAAGATGCTAAAGCTGTTGGTGGGATACACAGTAACTGAGATAATTTTAGTTTATTGTTAAATTGAGAGCTTTGAAGTATACTTGTTAGTGTTGAGTATTTTTTCTCCAAGTAGTATAAAACGTACACATTGTTAGAACAGAATTAATTTCAGTAGCCTTTTACAGTGATAGCAATTTAAAATACAGTGTATATTCTGTATATGTGTATGTAATACATTAGTAAAGTGAACCTAGAGAAATAGCTGAACTAGACTGAAATGCAATGAAGAAAAATGCTTTAAATGAGAATGGGGAAGGTGGTCTGTCTTAAGCTTGTAATACTTGAAGCTTTAGAATTTATTTTGAAACTATTCAGTTGCAAGTCATTGCTTTTTCTGTGTACAAATTTGACATAGAAACAGGCTGACAGTCTTTCAGACTGATTATTTGAGCTTTTCAGAATCAAAAGGTGTCTTGTGGCTATCATAAAAGGGAGAGAGCTGTTATTATCTAAATTGACAGTATGTAATTCTGCCTTTTAAGGACAAACTCAAACTCTGCATGCTGTCTTGGTCTTGGGGGCAGGAGGAGAGAGGGACTTCATCTGTTGAAGACCAAGCTATTTGGGATCAAGTGCACAATACATATGCTAATAACTCAAGCTTTAACTGTTGGTTCACAATTATCTAAGTATCCCTTAAAAAAATTTCCCTAATTACTTTAAGACTATAGTTGTCAATTTCGCATAGTCATATTAGAATATGAGTTTAATTCAGTGAAGCTGTGTTGTGTCTGTATCAGGTAGATATGATTTTGCCTTTTTTCTTTTTTTACCATTTTTAAGATCTGCTTCTTTTCTTGCTAAGAAAATGTTTATATTTTTAATAAAATGAGTGAAAGAACCACCAAGACTTTATTTTAAGTAATTGTATCTGTTGAATATTGAGATAATTCTTGCATCGGCAATCCATTGCAGATCAGTACACATGAAGTAAGTGTCACACTTAAGCCATGAACAACACTATAGAATAAATATTGTAATACTGAATCAAAGGTACCACTTGAAAGGACATATCTTGAACTCAATAGTGCTAAGATTCTTCTAGTTTCCCTTAAATTCTAAATATGTTGCATCTGCAATGTTAATTTGTAAGTCATCTTTTAAAGTAGACTGTTAATGTATGTGTTCTACTTAGGATATTTAACCCATATAAAGAAAAAAAAGTATTTCTGGTGATGTTCGCCTAACCTTGATCCTTCTTCCACAAAACTTGGTTCAAAAGTTATGTCTAATGTCTAGGACAGTGGTGTGGAGATTTGAGTAATAATAAACAGTGATAATTTGGCAGAGAGACAAGAGAGAGCTTTGGACAGCAGTTCAGGCTGTCTTTAGAGATGTTTTGAAGCAAAAAGGTATTTTCTCCTAACTTTGTTATTTGCCTCTTTAAAAAGGAAGCTGAACTTTTACTTTTTCATGTTTCCATTTTACTACTGAACTTTACCATTACTATGAAACATCACCATGTTCCCATGGTTTCTGTGTCATAGAAAGCACATCAATTATGACTGCATTGTTGGCTTTATAATAAAACCTAGGCAGCTATCTTTGTGTTAATAAGGCAGTGCAGGCCTCCAGAAAACTGCTGCTTTCTGACTTGCATCCATAAGAAAAAAACCCCCACCTAAAAACCTGTAGTTTAGTAAGGAGAGATTAAATTGTGATGGAATATCTGGTTGCTTTACCTACTTACATATGTATATAATTATTCTCAACTACACTGTCATTACGGTTTCCCTTTCAGTCCTCCTTAACTTTGGTTCTAAGGTTAGGTGTGTACAGTGATCTCTTGTTAAGAAGGGGTAAATTTTCATAAACTCAAATGATCTAGTCACAGCTTGAAATGATGGTTTAGCAGCATAGTATCCTCTCAGCAGTGTGCTCCAATGTCCTTGTCATGTTTAGCCGTGTTCAGCTTCTGGTTGAGCTAGTTCAGCTTGCTAAACCAGCAGCAAAGTACTTGCTCTTTTTCTGGGTAGATTTTCTTTTCATTTGGTGGGTTGCACTGCCTCATGTTGGGGTCAGATATTAGCAGGAACAGTGAGAGCAAAGAAGGGGTTGGTGCTGGGTGAAAAGAAGTAACAAAGCTCCCCTCTTCAGTGGCCTGAGCTGTCAGGTCAGATCCCCTGCTTTATGAGGTCTCTCCCCAATAAAGCCTTTGCTTCAGCCTTAAGTCATATTTAGAGGATCTGTTTGCATGGGACTGTTGACTTAATTTTGATTGAGAGTTATAGGTGTTAAAGGAAGCCTGTTTTTATTATTTCAGAAGTTTGCTTCTTCATGGAGTAGGGTTATAAGGTAATAATTCAAAAATTAAATGTGCACACTTACACCCCCCGCAGCTACCTAAAGCAGCAGTCAGTCAATAATTGTATATATTATAGCATATTGTAATTGTGTTGGAGTAGAAGCATACGTAGGTGACAAGCTCAGGTTGGCTGAGGCATGAAGGGCAGAATCTGTTGACAGTCTTTTTAACCTTACATTGAGCAAATTGCTTAAAAGCAATTATATTTGTACTAAGATGAAAATAATCTCGTATTTCAACTTCTTTTATTAAGAATTAGCAAACTGTCAGCCCCTGGTTACCAGTAAAAATACTGATGATATGTAGGGTTGCTTCCTTTGCAGTTCTTTAAATTACTTTTTTATTTCTGGCTTGATACTGGAGTCTTTGTCCAGTTGAGAAGTGTTATCCGTGGTGGCAATTTTTATTCTATAGACTGTTCAGCTAGGATCTTGTTGCAACAACAGAATGATAATGGGTGGCATTTGTCACTGTGCTTAATATATTGCTCTGAGAAGGGTAGTGCAAGACACTTCTGGATAGGAAGCTGCAATCTGTGGAGCAGACCAGCAAATTTTCTCAAATTGTGGTGGGAAGGTGAGTTTATATTACTGTATATTTAGACATCACTAAGCTGTGTCAAGGCCCTGAAAAAGATGCACCTTTTAATAGCAGATATGAGCTATAAAAATGCTGAGATTTGCAAGGATCCCTGATAATACACTTGCTCTGAAGCAGAGGGAAATATACATACCTACATCTTCATGACCAGTTCTTAAACTTGCAGTAGTAATGAGAATTCCATAACCTCCCTAAATAAGTTGTTTTGGTGCTTAGTTCACCCCTCTGCCCCCCCCCCCCCCATATCTAACTAAACTTGTTCAAGGGAAACAAACAAAAAAAAAACTGCCAAACAAAAAAAGCAACCAACAAAAAACCTCACAA